TTGAACTTTCCTGGATATTCATTGACTCCAATCATTACTCGCTCAAATCCAAGCAAATGGTACAAAGCGACTCTGCAAATTCCGCAACAGATCTCCCCTGTTCAACAGATGCAAAGCGAAATTTTACGAACAACATACACTACTCTCGTGCCTCTTCATCCTTAGTATCACCGTTACACCTATAACTGATCACATCATGAAACGTTGTATTAAAAAACCATTCTAGGCGTCGTACTTTGCAACTCAGAATCAATCGCATTCAATATTACTGTGCACAATGAACCAGTAGTTCGTTATTTCTTGTTCATCATATGAACGAGACTGTGAACTACGTCTTTTCAAATTTCCTAATTTTTACTCTCCCAAGCTGTACTTATTTTTTGTCTATCTATCTATATTCCTTCAAACTTCCTTTTTCCCACTCATAATCAAGCTCTGGTTGTTTGCACAGGAAATTTCGGTAGTCTAGCCCACTTATTTCTTCACATCCAAACGAAAGCTACTTGAGTTGTACCAGCGTTTCAGACTACTTTCTTTAATGGCGTGAATAGTATACTAGGTTTACGGAGAAAAGACAGAAACAAAGACAGCGCCAGACGTGGTATCATTTTCTAGAGGAAATCTAGAGTGCATTCGATGACAGGGTGGGTGCTCTGAGAAACACCACTTCATAATGGCTAACCGCTTACGGCTTTTAGCATGCTTCACATAAAAACTTGTTTAAATGCATTAGCTGACATTGACTTGAGGTTCCACGTCACAATTGCTTATCAGTCGTCTGCTTCCTTTCTTGTCATTTCCTTGCCGTCCTGTTCGAATGTACGCGTCTTTCGAACGCAGGTTGGCTCGACTGACCATGTCTGGTTCACATTCTTCGGTTCATGTGGGTTTTTGCGTAAGCTTAGCGACTGCCGTTAAATGTGCATGTTGAACGCGTGACCAGAACACCCGAATTATAGCTTATCTACCTAATAAGGGTGGAATAGTCTTTCAGAACTGGTCGGCAAAATACGTCAAAGCACAGAAAATTTACGTCATTCTTTGCATGTTGAACGCGTGACCAGAACACCCGATTTATAGCTTATCTATCTAATAAAGGTGGAATAGTCCTTCAGAACTGGTCGGCAAAGTACGTCAAAGCAAAGAAAAATTACGTCATTCTTCTACAGCAATAAATTTTTGGAAAAATGCTGAAAAAAACATTTGCTACATACCTAAGGAATCGAATGCAATGTTTGCCCATCGGACCTCCATGAACCCAAGAATTTAGCCTTGTATTATGATAATTCAAGATACGCTTTCTGACCAATACACGAGGTGGTAATGGGAGGTAGATTTCATCAGTTAGCATCAGGTTGCTGACTGTAACCAGAGAACCTGAACTTAGAAGCCAAAACTATCCTGAGTTTTTTATAAGTTACTGACGATATCAGCATGGCTAGTGCACTTAGCGCCGCTTTCAGTGGTATTGGTCTTAACAGTTTGACGAAATAATATTAACCAGACCTCGGTTGTAGTACGAATGTTCATGAAGCCCCGAGGAAAGACATACTTGGGTTGCAAGCAAAACAACTAAGCGTAAGCTATTGTTTTTTTTTGTGGTCAGGTGGGTAGGTGTACCGGTATACTTGAGACTTATGTGTGGGTGTGTCACGACATCTTGGTACCGGTAGTACACCCGGATCTGGTATCCGTTACGGGGGTTGCCGGATGAGTTTAACCTTCCACCAGACCATGACAGTTCCATAGATGGTCGTGACAAACTGGGCAAAGGTAAACAAAGCAGAGTAATTGTTTTTCAACGTGCGTACTAGTCCAAGGAAAAAACGAAACACACCTGAAACTACAACTATGTCGCCGCTCCGCGTATGCCCGCACAGCCTGCTGTCTTTACCGCAATCCTATCGGATCATTGGCAACCTTTCCATGTTTTGTCCCCGAGCTGAGAATTTCATGCACATCAAGGTTCGAAACACTCCACAGCGCACTTTCGTGTTGAGTACATGCCAAAAGTTTCCTTCAATTGTTTCATGAAGAAACAGAATTGCACACCTGGTTGAGATTCACAATCTTGATTCTGGTATTGTGCTTGGGAATGAAATAAAATGCCACATTAGTTGTAATCTTAAAAAATCAAGAATATTCACACAATAACAATATTTGGATCCCTCAGAACTAATTATTACCTACCACTGTACCTAAAAATATGAGTTCCATTAATTTCTACTTTCTAAGTGATTAGCACAAGTTAGATCGCTTGACGGGCAAAAGCTCACTCACTTTGTTTTTGACTGCGTGGTCTACGCTGAAGCAAACAGATGATGCAGGATTGGCGTACCCATCAGAATCATATTGGCGACACATAGATGTTACAATTAAACGTGCAAGTTCACTGAATTCTCACTCTAACGGAATCTCTACGTCAAATTTAGCACAGAATGGAATTAAAATTCGGATCCAGTTCCCTCACTGTACTGTGTAATTTACTTGAAACCCAGAAAACCACGGACCGAAGCAGTTATCAGTAAAGTTAACTCGTCCACGGAGGTAATTTATGTTTGAGGTGGATAGAAAAGCCGACCAGAAGTCCACGTAATCACATCCTCCCATCGCTTGGGCCGATTACAGGAGCGCTGACGAACCCATTTACAGGATCTAACAGTGGTACCCAAAGGAAGACATCTTTTGAAGCGCCCTGAACCATAAGATGAAGGGCTCCTTCTTCAAATACCCTAACCACTCTTCAACACATAGACAATAAGACGTGGGTACCAACATCGTCCTAAATTCAACACTGACCGAGTGTGCTACCCGGAAGAGATTTTATTAATTGGTTCCCTATATGCCTTGAAGCTCGACCGATCTAATGGCCTAGACACTCCCTCTGTCAAAATTTCTGTGTCCAAAGAGAGCCGCTATCAAGCAATAAGCCCAATAGTTTTTTTATTAAATCCTCCTAAAACGACTAGTTCTTAGTTGGTTCCAAACTTGTTTTCCAGTTAACTGAAATGCACTCGGCCGTCTGCTTGAAAAAAGTTATGAGCATGGTGTCTACGGACTAATCTCATTCACGCCAACTGCAAGTTGTCCGTCCCACATCAGGTACGGCAGTTTGATTCGTAATCAAAGTGTTGTGTGTGGGCCACCGTTTTTCCACTCTGACTTCCGTGATTGTGATGTCTGACGTGTGGTTAGATGATACGTGAATGCAAAAACTATAAACTGTTTCGATTTTTCAATGAAAATTGCTCTTCCTGTGTGTTTGTCACTTTCTCTTAATTGCTTGCATTGGCCATTGTCCTTCCTCCCACTTTGATCCACATTCGTTCGAGTCACTCAGTTCGGCAAATGGTCATGCTGGCGACTGCGTCCGGTCTCTGCTGCCCCTTTGCACGTACGCCCGCTCAGCTGCAAATGTGTTTGTCACACCAGCTAAGAGGACGATCTCAATTACGTCAGAGCGGTTGTTCGAAGTGGGGGGCTATATCCGGACCGATTAGTTTGTCTGTCTATTCTAGACGATAACTGGCAGGCGCATCGACCAAGATTGAGAAGAGAAATTTAAATACTGTTCTCGTCATAATTCACTTCAGAAAATTACACAAATAGGATTTTATTTTTGCCGATTTCTTGTGTATTGTGTGGGTTTCTTTGTCCAAAATAGTCTATCGTCCAAGTCGGTTTAGGTCAAGCGAAAGTCGACAAAACTAGAGTTCCACCCACAAGCCCCGACACCAATTGTGTGGGTTTCTTTGTCCAAAATAGTCCATCGTCCAAGTCGGTTTAGGTCAGGCGAAAGTCGACAAACTAGAGTTTCATTCCCAAGCCCCGACACCAGGAAAATGCGAACTGCTGGGTGGTAGAAAGCGTTAGGCTGCACCACACTCAACTGTTGAAGCGACAACTTCAGGACCAGTAGAACACGCGTAAAATTGTTCTGTTACAACGTACGATGCGCCCATAGAAACGGAGCCCCTGAGGATCAAATCAAATATCTTCACTTTCGCTGCTACCGAAAGGGCCAGAAGGCAACGGTGCTCCAGAAGGCCATAAAGAATTTTACATATTAGTGCTCTCCCCAGCCCCATAGAAACGGAGCCCCTGAGGATCAAAGCAAATATCTTCACTTCCGCTGCTACCGAAAGGGCCAGAGGGCAACGGTGCTCCAGAAGGCTCTCCCCAGGAGCTCAATGTACCTTGATGATTAAGTTGGGTATTTTTTTGGAAAGTAAGAGCATAAATATAAGTGTGTTGTCTGATCGTTAGAACCCCTTCATACTAGGCGTAGGTCACGTGACGTTTTAGTCACAAGCTTTTGGTTGTTTGCTATAGGAACACACTCAGAAGATTTCAAATAATTGTGAAACTTCTTGGTTGTGACCAACTGTTGACAAACCAGATAAAAGAATGTTACAACACACTAGTAATCAAATTGTTGCATTTTGTTTAATCAGAGTTTCACACTTGGGCGGTTGGTGAATCCAGAATAAGGACAACAAGGTTATATGTTTTCCCCGGAAAATAACTTTATCTAATGTAAACATGTTAATGAAGTGTGAAGGGAATGGGTGTGGAACATCGCACGAATATTCGTGGTTCAAATTTATATTATCAACA